TTGTGCACACATATAAGCAACGCACTTCCTTATTACTTTATGAAATGTAATCTTTAAAGATATACATCATGATCTGTTCCTGCTGTGTAAAAACATATGCCTGATAATCATCATTAGTAAGTTTGCACATGAATATGTACATTTTTGAATGTATTTCTGGATAGTTTCATCGAAACAATGCCAAAGTAAGTAATATGGTAAACACGTTACCAACGCGGGCTTACTTCTTATTTCTTGAACGGCAAAATCACGTTCCGTAAAGATAGCTTATGGTAGAAATGTATGATGTATAAATCACATTAGAATGTTTGTATAATTTATATAAATCTAAATATCGTTGAATTTAATAGGAACAAGTAAAACACAATTATTTTTATTACTGATTAAAAAGTGCGCGATAAAATTGTTTTTCTAAACAACTGGTAATTTTTGTTAGGCAATCACTGACGCAATTTAAAAAAAATTCATGTAGAAGCGCATATATATATATAAAGATATATACTCATTATTCCTAAACAGTATTGATTATTGATTATTATCTCTAGTTTAATTAAAGTGAATTATTTTAAGTGTGAAACATACTGTAAGTTATATTTTAAGATGTTTTGAAGTATCATTAATAATATTATCAATATGTTTAGGAATAAATTATTATTAACTAACTTTGCAGCAATTGCGCAAGTAATATAACTTGTATTCGCACTAAATGGATTTAAGTTCATACAACATTATATATATATATATATATTTGCATACAAGAATACAGGCAATAAGAAATAAAAAACATTATTAATGGCATTAATTGCGTTTTCCTTCATCTTTCGTGCATTCAATTTACTTCTGTAATGGTATGATTCAACAAAAGACTGTTTGGGATAAGAATAATAAATTTATGACAACTCATTCAACGAAATTTTCGTCATAATTTAAATCTTTTCGTGATTTTTATTTGTTTCAAGTACTTGTGTACAAAAATTTTCAAAAGAATTTGAAAGCAACTGTGCTTGTATATTCATGAAAGATTTAAAGATTGACATTCTTTCTCAAAATCGAATAAATGTTTGTTTCCTTGATAATAAAAGTGATTTATGAAAAGCATTATTTTATATTTTCCCTGAGATATTTCAAGAGAAACCATTTTACGAATCTATTAGACAAGCAGGAAAGATAAATATGTCTAGACTTTATTAAACGTTAACTCTATAGGATATATTTCTTTCCGGGTAAACGTGACAGAACAATCAACTAACTACTCTAACTTAGGCTTTGCTTTTAATTTACTTTTCGCATTTACATATGGCGGTACCTTAACCAACATGTTATCGTTGTTGCTTTATAAAATTTATTTTTCTTATGCATGGTTTTTAAAACGTTATTTTTATTACATTATAATATTATTTCTTTTGCATGATTGGCTCCTTATTTAAATCAAAATATTCTTATTTTGCATATGTACGTAAGCATTTATTTGAAGAAAGGAATGTAATTTTATTTCATATATTACATATGTTTTACTTCTAGGACTTAAATTTCCACCACTATTTTCAGTGTAGTTTTCTGAATCCAAAGACTTCAGTTTTTCGCAATAGAAAATATTGGATACAATATGTTTATCCGGGACCCATCCACAGCTCGAATAGGAGTAGAAATTCTGCCTTTGGAAGTTGGATACCTTCCGGAATTTTTTCAAAGGAAAGCTGAGGTAGAATTGCATGATACTCCCGAAAGAAGAGTACAAGGGTTGAGGCAAATTAAAGAGATGGCAAAAAGTGAGTTCCAAATTCCATAGATCTTATTTTTTTCATGTTGAATGAAATATATATAAATGCTTGTAATTAGATTTTATTTCATATCCATTTAATGTAAAAAAACTCTTAGAAAAAGCAAATTACTCTTTGTTAATTATACGAATCGAAGTATGTGAAATTGCCGATATTTCTATGCTTGAATTCGAATATTCAATCTGAATTTACCAGCCACAAATCGACTTTTTGCAACACATAAAGTTTGTAAGAATATGCATAAACTTAAATGTACATCAAGGAAATCTGTGATCTAAAACGTAAAGACATACAGCTTTTTACTGTACTTCTCTTCAAGAACATTTATCGCAAGAACTTAGCAGAAGCAAACAATTACACTAGGATCTCAAATTTTGATTCAATCAATATCGAAGCTTTTCTGATAAAATCTCTTATCACGTGTTTGTTACATTCATTATTTAAAGACTGGCAAAGAAGGAATACGGGAAGAAGTTAAAAAAAGTAAAGCTTTAAGAATTATATTATATCCTGTGGTTTCTTCTGAGTTCAAAGGATCGTTGCGCAGTGCTGGTCGGTATCGGGTTAACGTTGCTAACTTCCGCTCGCCTGGCTCGCGTTCGAATAATGCAGAAGATTTGAAAGCTTGTAAGTGTATAGTGCCTTTGTACTTAATATTAAAAGTCTTTTGGAGACGTTGAATAGTAGAGAAAGAGGTTTGAAAACAAGGGAGTTATAATTTCTCCATTTGGGAGATCCAAATCCTTGGATTCTTCTTCAAATTGAGGCATATATGGACAAAGTCATTCAGTTATTTATAACGGGCACAAGATCCATAATAACGTTCAAGGCCCACGAGAGACGCAGTGAGCCCTCCTTACGACGATAAATTTCGTGGCCTTGTTCTGATCGTCATATAAATGAGATAAGTGAAAAAATAACAAGTATCGCCGCTAAGTTCAATGCTTCCAATGTTAGAAAGTGTTTTCTCGAGTACGCGAATTCTAGCTATAAAAATAGTTGCCCATTGCTTTAACAAATAATCCTAATAAATAGCGAAAAGTACGTGTCCTATTTCAATTTTTACATGCGGTTTGTTGATTAATATCAAACTTTACAGACATTAATGAAACTCGTTCTTGTTAGTACATTCGAAATGTAATGTTTTTCATGTCTCTGCTGTGATGTAAATGAAAACGTTATGTATAACACAGCTTAGTTCAAGGCTAGTAGCAACTGTTTTAGTATCCACAACTATTTCAGTTATATTTTTCAAAGTGTAAATTTTGTTGGAGGATTTATAAATTTTCATTGGTCTCTCTCACGCTATCAGTTTGAGCAAATGGTACTGATAGAAATATATTTCTATCAAGAATTACTGATAAGTGCCATAATTACTAGTTATGTAATTAATTGTGCTAAGATGGATACTTTGTAGTTTCATGATAATAAGCCATAACTTTTCATTGTACACTAGGATGTGCTGTGTAACATGGCTAATTATACAAGTACAACACACGTTAACAAAATGAATGCTCGTATTTCACCCACTTATTTTTCAATAATCCAACCATTTCCTCTCTGAAAGAAACCAGCCAAAGAGGATTCATACCACTGTTCTCAGATAAATTGGATATTATTAAGAATGAATACGTCTTATTTAAATAACACAAATTTATTAGCCTCCATTTATTTTATTCACGTGATTTAAAACTAAGCTTTTTTCAAATTATGTTCCAATAAATTAATGTCACGATGCATTATGTAGTATTTTAAATTTAAATGAGTTATTTTTAGGTTTTAGATTTTATCAGATTTAGACTCTATTTAGACTCTTTTGTTCTCTGTTTGTTTTGTTTTCTTTTGTTTTCCTGTGGAAAATGGAATGATCAATTGAATTAAACGATTAGTTAATTTTTTTTTACTTACATTTCAGAAATAACATAAAATATAAGAAAATTGCTTATGCGTATAATATCTTTTAAATAATTTATTCTAAATTTTAAAAATTTCTTTCATTTTGCTAAGGCTATCGGAATCAACCACAGGTAATTTTAATTGGAAGCTTGTTGCTTTTACATGACGTAAATGAAATCTATACTAATTACATAGTTTATATATTTATAATACTTCATAATGAAAACAAATTAATATCCTACCTCGGTGAGTATGTATTTCATAAAGGATATTTAGCTTACATTTTTCAAATTGCATCTGCGTGAGGTACACGAGACATCCCACTGTACGATGTATATTAAGTTACTTCTTTCTTTTTAAATAATTTGCTGTTAATGTTTACAAAGGAAAAGTATTTTTTTAAGTATTTATTTATTGCTAATATTTTCTTCCAAAATTTTATTTGCAATTAGAATTTTCCAATACGACGAATTATTATTCAAAATAATCAAAAGGTAAAAAAGAATGAAAAAATTTGAAGTTACGCTGTTTCTTAATTGCCTTAGTGTTGCCAGAACCTTTTCGACTAAGTAGCGGGAGAAGAATTTAAAAAGTTGAAAAACGTAGCACCCTGACGGCAGTCAGAGATCACATGATTGTGGGAACGTCCTAGTTCAGTATCTTCACATAACCTCTGGCGTAATTCAGTCTTCAATGTTTCTGCAAGTTACAGACTGTAATTCGATTCTTAGTCGAGTCAACTAAGTATCTTTCGTTTACACAAAAATTTAAAAAACTATATTGTTAATTTTTCATTGTTTAAATATCCGTTTATTCAATTAATTAATTTAGGTTTTTATTTTTATTTTTATTTGTTTATATCCCTTGTTAAGTGTTTCCTCACATTTGGATAGTTAGCGGTTTTATACTAGTTTTGAGTGGTTAGCAGTTAATTTTTTTCACTGGATTTTGCTGTATTTTAATTGTTAGTTCTTCTGCGTGAATTCTCTGTTCTTTTTGGTGGACTTCGTGGACTAACCGCTCTGCTTGGTATCATGTAATTATAAATAAAAGCTATATTCTGACATTATTAAATTTCTTTGTGTTTTTATTTAGAAACCTGAAGTTGCTTTGACTTTTAAGTCATTTCAATTGCTTAGTTCTTAGCAATATTATAACCAGGGGAATGAGTTTCATTCCTATTTCTGTTTGAGTAACCAATATATGGCGCACAGGCTACAAATGAATTCATTATCACAACAGAAATGGAAGAAAGACTGTCTTAAAAACAAAATTTGTAGAGTAATAAATTCATCGCTATTAGTATTAAAATGCATAACTCTATTTTATACACTTTTACAATATTTTTCTTTTCATTACTATTTAGACGCACGGCAATGTGTCAGCCAAGTTCGGAACAGACGGAAAAGAAAACAGTTAGAAAGCGGCCATGTGTATCTCATACGAACCATTTCGAGCTACTTTAGACCCCCCCATTACTCAAAAACTATTAGATTTACACAACTTGCTTTTTGTATGTATAATAGAGCTTCCTTGAACACCTAGAATCCAGACTTTCATTAATCGACCTCTTATACTTATGGAATTATTAAGGCCTGAAAAGCGTCACTTTTATCACTCACTGATTGATCAAAAAACTAGACCACTTCTAAATGACTTTATAAGGATTATGTTAATTTTATTAACAGTTAAATTTTAAGTTAAAGTTCCTTTCCTGTCAAATTCTTGACTTCAACTTACTAGTTCCCGCCAGAACGTAGTTTTACAATCACGTCTGAATACATAATGAGGAAGAGCGGTATTTAACCATGAAGTTCTTTGGTCTTAGCGAGAGAGAAACAGAGTTTCTGATTTACGCGCCTCTACCTTTTGGCCACTCTCTCTCTCAAAGCTCTTATTACGCTCGGCCGTACTCAGGCCCTTGATAAGCTTCGTAGTCATCTGGTGTCTAAGGGGCATTAGTCCAGAATCTTGATAGCTTCAGTTATTATTTCTTTAGTTAATCTTAGTTTTAGTTTAATTCTTAGTTCTCATAAGTTCAAGCCCAAGTGTCGGCTTTGATTATACACTCCAAGACGGAGTTTTGTTAAATCTTATTGGAATAATAAAGGGTTAGTTACCCTTCCATCTTGTTTCTTGTCACACGAACTTAAGCGGTTATTCGCTAACTAGTTCTTAAGATTCGTCACTTTCTACAGTAACTGAGATTTACACTAGTGAGAGTGTTACAACTTAAATACTTGGAATTTTATATCAAGGTAGATCACTAGGCATATACAAAGGGAAAAAATCTAAAACTTCGAAAAACTACATTATTATCGAGGTTAAACTAAATAATACTCATAATGAGCATTTGACAACGTCACCAATAGATGGCATTGTACTGATCGTCGGTTTCCGCACCACTCAGATGCTATTCCAAAGTGAAGAATAAAAACCTGTTTATAATAGATGAAACGATAGCGCAGAGGTAGAGTGCAGGACCGGCTAAAAATGGAGTAGATGTAAAAAATAAGTGAAATTAGCACAGATACGTAATATGAAATTATGGTAAATGCATGTTAATTTATGGGTGATTGTATGTTAAGTATAGAGTATGTTGAGGGAGTTCTGGTTCCTAAACATAGGGCTGTTATTACCTCTGTACAGTTGTTCCTTTTACCATCTTCATATAAGATAATGTTTAAGGTTCTCATTTGATAACTGAACGTAATTTTTTTATATTATTATTATTATACTTTTTTATTATGGGATGTATTAGTGCAGTTCTCAAAGGCCAGTTACCTTATGCAAGAAATGGCGGCCTTTTCAAGTAACTGCCTAGGCACCCTAAGCCACCAGTGCAGAGAACACACTGGTTAGCTCAAGAGACCCTATTGATGGATATGTTTATTTAGAAGTATTGCCAGGCCTTCCAGTTTGGTAAAATCAGGAATTGCAAATGAAAGATAATAACGATGAAACCATAATTTCTGAAACTGTTACTCCTATAATATTTATGTTGTTAAAATATAATTTATGAATATGGAAATTAGTATCATAAATATTTATGTGCATTACATTTAATTATAAGTAATGACTATGTAAGAGTT